AAAATGTTGATATCCATCCCTGGCTGCCTGAAACTATCCCAAAATATTACACTCCCCCAAGATATCAACCCCACTACCCTTCAATTCCCTCGCTGTCACTCCCTATCTATTCCCCTCTCTTGCCCTCTCTCTATCTCATTCTGTCACTCTGTCTCTCTGTTTCATCTTCCCCCATTCCTTATCTATCACTGCTTTTCTCTCTACCTCTATTTCTATCGCAACATGTCTCTTTTTGTTCCCTATCCTGTCTCTTTTCTTCCGTCCTTTCTCTACTTCTCCCTCTATCTTCGTTTCACTCTCCCTCCCTATCTTCTCCTTCTCTCCATCACTCTAGCCCTTGGGCTATGTCTGTTTCTCTGTTTCTTAGTCACATCATGGTCTCTCGTGGGAGAGTCTAGGACCAGAGGGCACAACCTCAGATAAAGGGGCACCAATTTAAGACTGAGATGAGGAGGAATTTCTTTGCTGAGAGGGTTGTGGGTCTTTGGAACTCCTTGCCACAGAGAGCTGTGGGGGGCAAAGTCCTTGTGTGTATTTAAGGCTGAGATAGAGAGATTCTTGATTAATTGGGGAATGGAGAATTACGGGGAAAAGGGCAGGAATGTAGACATGAGGAATCTTGGATCAGCCATGAATGAATGGTTGAGTGGTACAGCAGACTCCATGGTCCACCCCTGCTCCTATTTCTTATGGTGTGACTCCTCCCCGGGGGTAATACCATTGGAAACCAGGTCCCAAAACTCCCAGCGTCGTCATGAAAAGTTAATAGTTTTGTAAAGCACATAAAGTTCCCTCATTTATCTCCCTTTCAGTCCCAGATTTAAAGCAAACATTGGTCAGGTTTTTATACTGAACAAGAATTGCTATTTAAGACCAGTAATTAGAGTTTAACTACAGGTAAACAGTTATAGAGCAGCATGCAACTCTAATTATTAAAACTCTGATCCGCTTACAAACACCCCAAAACAAGCAGAAAAGGAGACAGGGTAATATAGATTACAGACAGAGAGAAAGACGGGTCAGTACTTGTTCCGAGGCCCTGTTGTTGAGATGATCTTTATGGCAATTCTGTTGATTCAATCATCTTTCTCCAGATGCTGCTTGACTTGTTAAAAAGTCTCTGACTTATTATTTAAATGTCACAGCTTATAACTGTTGCAGGAAGGATAAACTGGTTTCCTTCAGGTTTACAATGAGATTTGACTGCAAAGAATGGAGAGACTGCTCCACAGCTGGGGAAGAACTGAACACCTCTCCCTCTTCTCTCTCTCTCCCTCCCCCTCTCTCTCTCTCTCACTCTCTCTCACTCTTGCTCTCTCCCCCTCTTCTCTCTCTCTACCTCTCTCCATCTCTCTCTCCCTCTCTCTCACTCTCTCTCTCACTCTCTCTCTCCCCTTCTCTCTCACTCTTCTCTCTCTCCTCTTCTCTCTCTTTCTCACTCTCTCTCTGCCCCCTTCTCTCTCACTGTCTCTCCCTCCTCTCTCTCTTTCTCACTCTCTCTCTCTCACTCACACACACAATCTCTCTCCCTCTTCTCTCTCTCCCTCTCTCTCTCTCATTCTCACTCTCCCTCTCTTTCTCTCTCTCTCTCATTCATGCCCATGCTATAACTTTGGTGTCGGTTGCAAGCTGCTCAGATTTACCCAGGATCCAATCGCACAACCGTTGGCAGGCAAAAAAGCATCAGTCATTATGAATGGTCACTAGTCCATAGACCAATTAACTTTGAACTCGAGGCCGTGAAAGCGACATCTGTCTACCCCCTTCAAATGACCTGCCACTCAATCCTCAATGACTGCATGTTCAGACAGCTCTTTATGATGCAGGGAACGGGGGTCAGGCATCATAAGTATTTCAAAAATTACAGTCACCTTTTCAAACACCGATTTTAAAGAAAAGTTCTTTCTCATGTCACTCTGCAGTTTGCTTTTGAAAGCTTAAAATTAATAGACTCAGTCCTCTCTCTCTCTCTGTCTCTCTCTCTCCCTCCTTGCCTCCTTTTCTCTCCCCGTCTTTCTGTTTTGCTCTCTCTCGCTCTTTCATCCCTTTATACTCTTGTCTCCTGTCTGGTCCTGGAGTAGCCCATTTCTGCTCAGCCTGGATAATATTAAGCCCTTAGAGACATGTGTGTTCCCAGTGTAATGTACTAACCCTGTCTGCACCTGTCACCTTGTGCTGCAGGACACCCTCTTCCACTGCTACTTCTCACCACCGAGTCAACAGCTAGTTAATCAGTGGTTAACTCCATCGAGCTCGTGAGTGGTTAATAGCTACAAGGCTCTGATACCTGGTTAACGGCCTCGAGTTCAAAGTTAGTGACGGCTAATTAGCAACTATTAAAAACACAGATGTAAAGGGCAACAGATTAATACTGTTGACACAGGTTGGTGAGGTGTTATAGTCCCTGGGTACTGGTTAATACCCAAAATCTGGCAAAGAAAACGTTGATGGTTAACCCGAGTATGGATGGACCATTTGATTTCTCAAATGGCTAGTTAAGTGTTGTTTCCAACGCAGGAACGGTATAATGATTGGTCAGTCATTAACCTTTAACCAGAACCTGTGGGATGTGAATTCACTGATATTTATTCTGGTGGAGGTTTTGTTGGATTTACTCGAATCACTTGCACTGAAATGAATAAATATATTTATGAAGTGAACAAAATTGGTTTTAGTTATCACAATGTTAATGGGGGAGTAAATCCATTGCACTTTCTGTGGGATGGTTCATTTAAGATGGAGAAATACATGAGAAGTTATAATCACCTCATATCTATGTGTCTGTGTGTGTGTGAGTTTGCGTCTGTGTCTGTGTTTCTGTGTGTCTGTGTGTGTCTGTGAGTGGGTGAGTGTGTCTGTGTGTATGTGTGTGTGTGTGTGTATGTGTCTATGTGTGAGTGTGTGTTTATGTGTGTGT